CTCTGGGTAAACAGCAGAGTAGGGGGGATTGGGAGTGGGGTAGGCAGGTTCCAGTATTGGACTGGGTGGTCCAGGAGGCCTCAGTGAGCTGGTGTCATTTGTGTAATGGTCTGAAGGAGGGGAGGGAGCAAGCCAAGTGGACATCTGGGGAAATTTGTTCCCTTCAGAAGAAACAGCCAATGCAGAGGCCCTGAGGAAGGAGTGTGCATGATGTGTTGGATCAAGAGGGACCCCAGGAGTTCCCGGAGTGGGAATTGCAGTCAGAGGAGTCATGGGCGTGGCAGCATCACATGGGACCTTCAGGCCATCTTAAGTACTTTAGGTTTGACCCTGAGCGAGCCAGAGGGTTTTGAGCAGATCGGCTGGAACTGATCTATGTTAGAAAGGGCTCTCTCTGGGTGAAGTTAGAGAAGGTAGCTGGGGAAGGTTGGACACTGGGAGAATGGTGGGAAGGCAGCTGCAATGACCCAGGCACAAGATGATGGTGGCTTGGACAAGAGGGGCGGGGATGGAGGTGTTGAGAAGCAGTGGGGTTCTGGAGATACTCTGATAGTCGAGCCAAAAGATCAGCCCCTGGGCTGGGTATGCTGACGTCACATCGAGGGTGATCTCAAGGTCTGGGATCTGAGACACTGGGAAGGCGCAGCAGTCAAGGAGGCTGTGCATGCAGTAGGTATCAGGGAGAAGATTAAGAATTCTGTTTTGGACATCTTGATTCTGAGATGTCTGGTAAGGATGTGGGGTAGGCCGCTGAACACATGAGTCTGGAATGATGTAGGGAGTCATTGGCACATGCACAGCTGCTGCAAGCTATGAGGCTGGAGGTCACCAGCCAGTGAGCGTAGGCAGAGACGGAGACCAAGGTGTTCAGGGAACAAGGAACCAGTCAGAGGGAGCGTGGAAGAACGAGAGACTGGGGCATTCTGAACATCAAGTGAAAAAAGTACGAGGAACATCATGGGAGCAGCCGCGTCAATGCTGTGGTTAGGTGAAGGAAGACAGGGTGAGACAGGGCCTCTGGATTTGTCAGTAAGGAGGTGAGGGGGTGGGGACCAAGACCTGAATGGGGCAGGCTTAAGGGAGCACAGGAAGTCAGGGATCACCTTGCCATGACTCTTGGAAACATGAGGCTGAGTTGAAAGGAGCGAGACACAAAAGGCCACATAGTGTACGATTTTGTTTGAATGAAATGTCCAGGAGAGGCAAATCCAAAGAGACAGGAAGCAGACTGGTGGTTGCTGGGAGCTGGAAGGGATGGAGGGATGGGAAGTGATTGCTTCATGGGTAGGGGGTTTCCTTTTGGGGTGATGAAAATGTTCTGGGAACTTAGCAGTGGTGGTGGTTGCACAACACTATGAATGTAATTAATGCCACTGAATTGTACACTTCAAGATGGTTAGTTACAACGGTAAATTTTGTGTGGTGTATTTTCTCACTACATATATATGTACATACGTATGTAAAGAGGGGAATTGGAGAGGAGGACTAGACCAGCTGTTTCCAAGCAGTTTGTTGAAAGAGGAGGAGAGACATGGATAAGAAGCTGGTATAGGATGGGGCACAAGAGAGGGCTTCTTGACAGGAAAGAGAGATTAGTGCATTTGGATGTGGGGGTGAAAGGTCCAGAGTTGATGCTAAGGAGGCAGGAAGGAGAGAAGCCTAGGAGGGACAATGGTGGGGACCCAGATTCCAGCCGGGTCCAGGAGCAGGACCCCCTCGACAGCATATATTTATTGAGCACTCATTACTGTCTCCCTGCTGCTCCCCTAAAGTCTTCTCCGGCTTTCTTTCTCCAGCAAGCACAGTTCCCAGTGGCCTCAGTAGCCGGATGCGGGGCACTCAACCTCAGTTGCCAAGTGTCCAGAGAAGCCCAGCTGGCCAGGTAGTCCCTGCACCCCGTGGACCACCTTAGACCTGGCGCTGGAGTCCAGGAGCTTAGACCCCACCCTGGCTCTTTCCTCTTCCTCACAGGCCCCCAGGTGCTGTGCACCTCTACTGTAAGAAGCAGGGTGCTGAACAGGCCGGGCGGGGCATGTTCCCTCTCCGGTAGCGACCAGAACTACCTATACCTTTATATATGGGGGGCGGGGGGCGGGGCGGGCGAGAGCCCGCAGGGTGGTCCACCTTCGCAGAGATTAAAAGCCTGAGTCTGAGACTCGGCAACAGCGGCGCCTGGATGCCTGTGTGTGTGTGTGACTGTGTGCACCAGCCCCAAGAAGGGCGTTGGGCTGGAGGTGGGACCTGGGTGGTCCACACCGACCCGGCCCCTGTCTCAAGACGTTCCCTGCAGCGCAGCGGCTCCCATTGGCTGGGGTCCCGGGGGTCCCAGCCAATCCGGCAGAGGGGTCGTTTTTCCTGGGCTGGGACCCTTGAGACTCAGAAACGAGGGGCACCCCGGACGGAGCCACAAACTCAGCTGACCCAGTGACCCGCTGACATCAGCCTGGTGAGGGCAGGATGGGTGGAAACCGGGACTGGATTTCGGGGTGATGGTCAGAATCCGGGTGCCGGTCGGAGCGAGGGGCGCCCCCGAGAAACCACAGAGCCCTCTCCCTCCAAGCAGGAGCTGCCAGCCTCGCGGATGTTGGATGTTGATTGCCAGGTGCCCTCCATGGGGAGATGGCCGACGCCACCCTTCGACCCACGCTTCCCCAACCAGAACCAGACCCGCAACTGCTACCAGAACTTCCTGGGTAAGACCTTGTGGGCCAAGTTAGGCGGAGGGGGTGAGAGACGATGGGAGTTAGGAAGGGGCGCGCCCCACCTGAGGACGGGGAGAGGGTCCAGGACCCCGACGTGAGGACGGAGACCGTTGGGGTGGGGAGTGGAGCGAGCCTCGGCCGAAAGGGGCGTGGCCTACCCCTAGGGGCGGGACCTTGTCTAAAAGGGGCGGGATCGATCCGTGGAAGGGCAGGGTGAGGGGGGAGCGGAGTCAGCCGGCCTTGTCTGGGAGGGGCGGGTCCCAGTCGTGGAGGGGCGAGGTGAGGGGGGATAGGCAGGGCCTGGCTAGTAGAGGGACGAGAGGGGCCCTGCAGGTTAGGGTGGGACCGCCGGGTCTTGGAAGGGGCAGGGCCTATTCTGAAGGCAAGTGAACGAGTCCTGGAAGGGCTGGGTGAGAGGGGGGATAGGCAGGGCTTTACCGGGAGGAGGCAGTCTCCGCGGCTTTCTGGAGGGGCGTGGCTAGGAGGGGGCTGGGGAGAGGTAGATGGTGCCGGGCCGGGAGGCGCAGGGCGTGGGTGCCACCTGCCTGCTCCGCCCCCGTCCACCTGCCCGCCCCGCCCCACCCGGCAGACTACCACCGCTGCGTCAAGAACATGAACCGCCGCGGGAAGAGCACACAGCCCTGCGAGTATTACTTCCGCGTGTACCACTCGCTGTGCCCCATGAGCTGGGTGAGAGGACAGGGGGGCGCCGCACCGACGAGCCGGACGAGGGTGGATGGCCCGGGTGAGCTGAGCCAGCGCCCGCTCCCCACCTCCTTCCCTCTCGTCCACCACTCTCCCAGGTGCAGCGCTGGACCGAGCAGATCAAGAACGGGACTTTCGCTGGCAAAATCTGACTGCCTGAGCGCGGCTCCTCCGAGGGATCAGCCCCAGTGACACCCTCCGCATCCTCTCGTCTCTCGGAGAATGGACCCTACCACCCCAACACCCGCCCTCGCCGCCGACCCCATCTCTAAGCCGCAAATAAAGCTGTTATCGCTGATCTTTCTTAACGTCTGGTCAGTGAGACATGGGGACGTCCTCCCTGTGTCGGCCCTGCAGCCAACACCACTGCTTCTGATCGTGGGCGGGGTGAGGGAGGACTGTGCTGCATCAGGGCAGGGATGGAGGGAGGACAGTCAGATCTTTAGGGTAGGAGCAAGCCGAGCCCCTCCCACCCCTCCCCAACTCCCCCAGTCCCCTTTGTCTCTCTGAGTCCCAGCACTTGTCCACCAGCATAGTTCCCTGCTGTCCCTGCCTCTCAATTCCCACACCTACCTGTCACCTAAGTCCTCCCTCCACCTCCTCACGCAGGACCCTCTTCCTCCTGGACCACAACCCCAGCCCGCTCCTGGGATTCCTGTGGCCCTCCTCCCCCAGTCCATCCCATCTCGAGTCCCAAGGAGTCTTTTATATACCACCCAGCGCTGCCCCTAGCCCACCCTCTCCTACTCCCGACCCTTTCTGGCTCTCCACCATTCCCTCACTCCCGCATCCCTTTCTAACTCCATTTCCCTTCCAGTACATCCCCATCTCCATCACGTGAGCCCCTTTCAGCAGAGTGCTCTGCACTTGTCCCCTAGGTCTGCTGAGCACCCTGTCCACAGCCAGGAGCAGCCTCCTCCTCTGATCAGACAAACGTCACTTCAGTTTCTCCCACCAGCCCCTTCCTGACTGTGAGCTCAGGACACCAGCGCTCCAGTCTGTTGTTTTTTGCCCCTGACCCACTGGGGCAATGGGTCTGTGCTCAGTTAAGCTTGGGGATGACAATACTTTCATTCTGATTCCAGACACCCCTCAAAATGTCACCTTTCCAGCCACCTCCACACCACCCCCTACCCCGGCCCCACGCCAGGCTGAGCAGTGACCCTTGGCAGAGCCTGGAGCCCTGGGGTTCTAGCTTGGTCCTTCCCTAGATGGGTGTGTGTCCTGGGCATGGGGAGGATTGGATTGACAGTTTCTGTCTGAAGCTGTCAGCCTCCTGGGGCAGCCTGGACCCCCAGACTCTGCCTAAAGTGATCTCATAAGGCCCCATTCAATCCCAGGGTTCAAAGGTGGCTATTACTAATCATTTGATGACTTATGGGCGGCCCTGGACAAGCCTGCTGACCTGCGTCACCTCAGTCTCCCTGGCAGTCAACAGAGATGGTCCAGAGTCCCAGTATCAGGAGAGGTGGGATGAGGGGAGGGGCTGGGTGAGCTCAGGGGAGAACTGGATCCATTCACTCCCCTTGCTCCCCTCCATGCTGTCCTCACCAGCCCACCCAGGGCACATCCCAGATGTGACATCTCCTGAGATGGCTCCACCCTTGACCTTGGCCCCGGCTCCCTCTCTCAGACCACAACCTGAGAAGCAGAGGGGCAAATGAGGGCACAGGGTGTGGACTCAGCCAGACAGGTGGGGCTGGAAGCCACAGGAGGGGGCCCGTCGTTTGGGCAACCTCCCTCAACCTGCAGACCTCTGGCCTGCACAGAGGTGGTGCTGCTGCAGGAAAGGAGGAAAGCAGAGATGACACGCAGCAAGGCAGCTCTGAGTCACAGAAGGGGGATGGTGGCTGTCTGAGCACTTGGTGAGGTCACCCAGGTAGCATCTGAGCACAGGACCTGACACCTGTGCAGCCACAGCCAGCCTCCTGACCTCTCCAGAGTGCCTGCAGTGGGCTCCCACCCTGTGGGCCAGCAGCCCCTCCGAGCCTTCCCCCTTCTTTCTCTCTAGGGCCAGGCTCGCTGCCTCCACCCCTTGACCACTTCTGGGACATTCTTACACTCATGGCCTCCCTTTTGCCATCACTGCCCTATGGATGCCTGAGTCGAGGGCAGGGCCAGACCCACCTCACCTCTAGTCAGCTGGACCAACACTCTCAGGCCCCAAACTCTGGCTCTGGACACCTCCTCCACCGCTCCTGGGCTAGCTTTGCCCACCCACATCCTGAAACCTCAGTGTCAGCCTCACTGTCCCGAAGCAGCCTCCCAGGTCAGAGGAAACTGAGGCCTCTCAGCCTCTTCCCCATGCCTCCCCTCAACCTGCATCCATGCTCTCCTCCCCCTCCCCCGCTTCCCCACCCCGCCCCATCATCAGCAAACTCACTCTTTTCCCTTCCCACTTCAGCTAATTCCTGCCAGTCTACTGACAGGCTCAGGTGTTCCCAGGTGCTTCCCAGACTCACAAAACCACTTGGCCACCCTCCGCCCTTCACACCACGAACCCTGGAGGCACTGCTCCGGCTCTCCCTTCCGCCCACATACCATCCCACATAAGCCACTGCTGAACCAAGCTCTTGGTCTCCAGTGGGCACAGTCCCAGCCTCCTCTCTGACGTCTGCCTCTCCCCTGTCCCAAAGATCTCACAGCCCAGATGAACTCTGAGAATAGTTTCAAGTCCTGGCCCTGAAGCTCACCAGCCATGTGGCCCTGAACAAACATCCGAAGCCCTCTGCACTGTGGTCTTCACGTCCAAAATACAGCGATAACAATACCTACATTTCACAGGGCTGTGGGGAGGATGATGCTGAGTCACAAGCTAGGACAACGTGCATGTAGCCCAGCTGTTCTCAGGGTGTGTGGGGTCTCAGTCTATATAAATGACTGGAAACACGCCGGCCTGATTCCAGTGCCTAACATCACGCTGGACAGCAACCACAGAAAGACCAACCACATTCACAGGCCCTGGAGCTCCTGGAGGCATCTGGTCGACCCCGTGCACAGGGCAAAAGGATCAGAGAGTGGCCACAAGGGAAGACATGGGGTCCAGGATTGGAGCATCCTGCCTGGCTCCCCTGCTGTTCCTGCCACCAAAGGATGGGGACTTAGAAAGCTTCGGGGAAGGCACTGCAAAGTGCGGGGGTGCTTCCCGAGACTCTGGCCGTAATTATCTTCTTTCAGCTCCCTCCTTCCCTCACCTCCTGGCCAGCTTCCCTGTTTCCTTGCTCTGGCCCCCATGTGTATGATGGGGTTCTCAGCCTGAGCCTTGACCCTCTGACTCTTGAATACAATCCACCCATGGGCCTGCCAGGCCCCAGCTCCACTGGGACATCGCAGGGCCTGCCAGCTCACTGGACCCAACACAAACCCCTCTCACCTTCCTATTGCAGTTGGGGCCCCACCTACCCTGTGGTCTGAGAATAAACCCGGCAGCAAGGTGGGCTCCGTCCACGCACCGGCTGTGGGACCTCGGGGCAGACATACCTGCCCTCCCTGACCGTCTGCGGAGGCGGCGTGGTCCTGGTGGCGCTGCCGTCAAGGTTGGGGCCAGGGTACACAGGCCGTGCAAGGAGTGTCGGCTGTAGGTGCTGTCCTGGAGGTCTTCCCAGCCCGCCTTCCTGTCACTCTAGCCCAGGGGTTCTCACCGGGTGCTGGCTCTGGCCCCCAGGGGTACATCTGGCAATGAACACCGACACTTTTGTCACCACTGAGGGGGTGCTACTGGCCTCTCGTGGCTGGAGGCCAGAGAGCTGGCTCCTCGTCCTACAACACAGGATCAGCACCTCAAGATGGCGGCAGTGCTGAGGGAGAGACCCCGGTCACTGGTTCCTAATCTTCGTGTTCTGGGTTCCAGACCCTTTTGAGAGCTGGCTGAAGGCTCTAGACCCTCCGCCCTCAGAACGTGCACGGGAATATGCAGTGGCTACATTTGAAACAGGGTTCCAGGAGGTTCTTGGGACCTCCAGCGTCCATCCGGGCTAAGGATCCTTGCAGAGCCGTGACCATCTTTGTCTAGAAGCCGTGGGTTCTTGCTTGCTCAGAGGAACAAGTTCTTCAGCAGCTGCTGCCAGCCAGCTCTCCCCACTCTCCTCGTCGCCGCTTGCTGACTTGCTGACTGGGAGGCCCTCTCCCTTCTTATTTTTAACCTGAGGGAGAAAACTAACAGGATTCAGTAGGCTTTGCACATTTTCTCATTTCTCAACAGGCTACGTGTAAACGAAATTAATTTTAAAGTTAAAAAACGTTACCTGCTTTGAACTGTCCCCATTCCCAGGCCCTGGGACCACTGTGGAAGTGCCCCTTCCTGGGGCATCCCCTCGGCCCACCCAGGTCTTCCTGCAGCCTCTCCGTGCCTGTTCACCCCCTCTCCGCAGGGCCCAGGTCCCTCCTGCACGTGGCCGAGCTTCTGAGTAAACTCTTCCAAGGCTGGCCAACACGGAGGAGACAAACTGGGGCCTGCAGCACACACCTGACTCTCAGACATTTGTGCCTCGTCCCTGTGAAATGGATGTGAGGCCTCAATGAACAAGAAATAAATATCCACAAGATGCTTTGCAGGGTGTCTGGTACTAGGAAGCACTCACTAATTGTTAGCTGTTAGTATTCCCTGAGTAACACAGGGGTTGAGGTGAGAATCAAGAGATGATGGCAGAGTCAAGGCACTGAATTGGATCTGAAGAAACGTGAGAAGACTCACTTCCTGGTCTCACAGAGCCAGGCCCACCACGATGACACGCATGAGGTCTGGAGGGAACGTCTGACTTCAGACAAGGGCGGTCCAACCTCACAAGACCCGGGACAAGTCACTCTAATTGCTGGACCTCAGTTATCTCATCAGAAAAATGGGAAGACTCCCCTCCCACGTGAGCAGACAGGTATGAAAGCATTCTTCATGAGCATAACCTGTGCCGTAGTACGATTCTTGTCTCTGTCATCCTCAGAGTCCACTGCCCTCTCACCCTCCCAAAGCTTTCAGGGCCCAAAGCCTGGGCTGCCTCCCCCGAATCTGGTCTCCCCAGTGAGGTGGAGAGTCTCACCCTCACAATGGACAACTCCTCAAAACGTAAATCAAAATGAAAGGCTTCCAGGGGTGATGCTTATAACAAGGTTTTAATAAAATAAAATAAAAAGTTCAAGTGCTTCCAACCCCCCAACATATCCCATTCCGGTGTGGGGGAGGGGAGGGAGCCCCCACACCCCAGTAGCACCAGGGATAGCACCATGAGAAAGATGAGGTCACACCCAGCCTCCCTGAGACCCACGAGGGTGGTGAGGGCGTGCTCCGGCCAGCCCTCAACTCGCCCCCA